CAAAGCAACCGAGGTTTTTTTCAACGACCGCCACGGCGCCGAGGTCATGTCTGGTGGTAGGAACTCGTCAGAGGAAGGCTCGTCTTTGTGACTTTATCCATATGAGTATGTGCGTGACCATCCCGATCGGAAGGTTCAGTCATGAAAGGCGTGTGCCCCAAACGTCACACATCGTGTTGCGCGATGGTTCGCCAGACTCCGCTTAACTATAGGGCCACCACCTTGAAGGTTTGCGCGTGGTCGCGGATCGCTTGGGCTTTGGCGTTGAGATGGAAGGGGGGAGGAGGGGAGGAAGAGGGCAGCGGAAACGGGGGGAGGAGGGAGGAGAGGGAAAAAGTGAAGGGAAAGGGGGAGGGGAAAGGGGCAAGGGGAAAAAAACGGCAAGGGGGAAAGGAAGAGTTGGGGGCAAAGGGAGGGAAAGGGGGAGGGGAAGGGAGGAGGGGAAAGAGGGGCAGGGGGGGAAGGGGGAGGAGGAGGAGGAGGAGGAGGGGGAGGAGGAGGAGGAGGAGGAGGAGGCGGCGGAGGAGGAGGAGGCGGAGGAGGAGGAGGAGGGGAGGAGGGAAGGGGGGAAACAGAGAGGAGGGGGGGGAGGACGGAGGGGGCTCGCGGAAAACAGGGCCGTCCTGAAGCCGACGGCGCACCGGGCCTCGGCCCCGCGTAGGCGCCGTGAGCGCCGTAGGGGCCTGGGCGCGGCCGGGCCCGCCGCCCCTCCCAACTCCCCCCTGGAGAAGAACAAGGAGGAGGAGGAGGGGGAGGAGGAGGAGAGGAGGAGGAGGCGGGAGGAGGAAGCGAGGGGAGGAGGAGGAGGAGGAGGAGGGGAAAAAGAGGAGGAGGAGGAGGAGGAGGAAAAAGAGGAGGAGAAGGAGGAGGAGGGAAGAGGGAAGAGGAGCTTGCGGAGGATCGACCAGGCGGCCGAGTCGCGTGACCGCGGACGGGAGCGCGGGCCAACAGTGGGCCAGGCTCGCACGAGTACGGGCAAGGCCGTGCCTGCGCGAAGCGTGGCGCAAAACTATGGAACGCCCTCCCTCCTCCTCCTCCCTCCTCTCCTCCTCCTCTCCTCCTCCTCCTCCTCCCCCTCCTCCTCCTCCTCCTCCTCCTCCTCCTCCTCCCCCTCCTCCTCCTCCTCCTCCTCCTCCTCCTCCTCCTCCTCCTCCTCCTCCCAAAACTATTGAACGACCTCTAAGTGCATCCCAGCTTCGGGATGCTTGCCAGCCCGCGCACGAGAGACCAGAAACTTCTGCCTGCTACGGGCTGGGAGGTGTTCAGGAGGTCCTGGGCAACGGTCTTTACTGAGCTCACAGGTTGGCAACCTGGCCAAAGGACACCTGATAGGAGCAGCACAGGGAACACTTCAGCGCGCCACGGGTCACCAGAACATGGTGCCCATGGAGCCCGACGATGGCGTCACCGTGCGGCGCACCGACCCCCTCGGGCCCCTTACTCGCATAATCGGAACCCTCGCCGCCAAGGAACTCGTCAGAAAAATCCAACGCCACCTGAGCAGCCTGGGTGCGAAGAGGTGGGGCCGCCTGGAGCTGGAGGCCCCCGAGGGCCTTCAGCCCGCGCTGGGCCGTGGGCTCACTATCTGCGAGCAACAACTTGTCGAGGCTAGCTGGGGTACGAGCAACAGCCAAGCACGCTTTACATCGGAAATGGGGGCCCCAAGTACCACACTGTGCCTCGTGAGCGCAACAGGGGCCATGGGCGCCTGGACATCCCAAGCCATCTGAAGTTTGCCTAGCGAGACACGCTGGTCCCATACAAAGCCGGCATGTGCCTTGCCGGGTTCCATGGTCACATGATACATGGGGTCGCACAACATGTCTCGCTGCGTGGCGAAAAACAAGGTAAGCGAAGACGAGCTCGCCACCCGTCCGCACAACATGCCAGCCACACGTCGCATTTGAGGGAGCTCGACTGGACTCACGCCCGATGCAGCCACTCCGTGGCCTGCGGCAGGAAGCAAGCCTGTGCGCCACAGAGTCGCGACCTGCCCAGCTGCAGCTCTCTCAAGCATACGTAGACGAGGCAGACGATCACGCAGCTTGTCGAGTCGAACCTGGGCTTGTTTCCGAACGGATCGAACCGAAGACGCGTCATGACCGAGGCTTCGGATCCACTTCTTGGCTGTGAACTTCAACTGCCTCGCGTGGCTACGGAAGGAAGAAATGGCACGCTTCGCGGTGGCAAGCCAGCCCGACGCTTCTCAAGTTTGATAAGCAGGCCTAGCTCTCGCACTTCCATTGCAAAGTCACAAACTGCACGATGTAGCTCCCCTGCGTCTCTCAGGCCAGAGCCAGTCCATAGAAACGTACCAGCATCACCAAGTGCACGTGGCATGACTCTGCCGTGCTGCGTGCTGCCTCGATGTATAGCTCGAAGCGCGAGTATGGAAAGTAATGTAGTGGCGTGCGTGCATCCAGCCAAGATGCATTGTCGCGAAATCGCCGGTATACTCCGGCTGCCATGTGATTTGATCACCCTTGTCTGTACTCAAATTTCGAGAAGCAGCCACATCAACCTCAATTGAAAGCGCATGGCGTGTGCCTCTCGAAAGGGCAGGGAATAGCACCGTCTCGAGACACTTCCACATGTCCAGCACAATGGTCGTGTAATGCTCGCCTGATAAATTTGCCATTGCAGCATGCAGGTTATGCTCATACGCAGATTAGCTAGACGAGTATCCCCTCCTGTTCCTCCTATGTGTGTGCTGCCGTGCTCGAGCACCAAAGCGCGCGATATCGGAGATGGGAGAGGAGGAGAGAGGGGGAGTGGACAGGAGAGAGGGGGGGGGACAGGAGAGAGAGGGGGGGGGAGGGGAAAGGAGAGGGGGGGGGGCCAGGAGAGAGGGGGGGGGACAAGAGAGAGGAGAGGGGGTGGTGGGGAGGGCCCGGATCATCATCTCCTCCATCACCATCATCATCACAATCGTCACATCACCATCATCATCATCATCATCATCATCATCAGCATCATCATCATCATCATCATCATCATCATCATCATCATCATCATCATCATCATCATCATCAACACCACCACCATCATCATCATCATCATCATCATCATCATCCTCATCCTCATCCTCATCCTCATCCTCATCATCATCCTCATCCTCATCATCATCAGCATCATCAGCATCATCAGCATCATCAGCATCATCAGCATCATCATCATCATCAGCAGCATCAGCATCGTCATCGTCATCGTCATCGTCATCGTCATCGTCATCATCACCATCACCATCCGCAGCGCCCTGGATCGGCGACACTGGCAGGAGGCCACTGCAATAAGAAGAGGCGCCATGAGATCTCCTTGGATATCTCGTGGCCCACGCCATGATTTCCCCCCCTAGTCATCACCCCCCTGAGGGGAAACGCCCAGGGGTCATACTCTAGAGGCCTGCGCGGAGGCGCGGAACAGGGGGCGCTGGGAAAAAACAAAAAAGCATATTGCGCATATGACGCTTGCCTTCGTAAACACACGTTCAAACAGGATCACAACTCCTTCTCGCAGTGTTCGGTCGCGCCAGCATTGCCGCAACGACGCATCTGGTCTCGGGGGCGACAAGGAGGGGGGCCCCCGAGACGACGGTGACAACGACGAGGACGAGGACAACGCTTTGCCGCCCCCGAGACGAGGACGGTGACAACGACGGCGGCGGCGCGAGCACCCGCGCCGGCGCCGGGCCGCGGGCCTGCGGCCACCGCCGGCGCCACGCGCACGGCCGGCGGCCCGTACCCTGGCGGGGGCCGGGGCGGCGTCTGGGCGCTAGGGGCTGGCGGCGCGCACATGGGGACGTCCTCCTCCTCCTCCTCCTCCTCCTCCTCCTATCTCCTCCTCTCTCCTCTTCCTCCTCCTCCTCTTCCTCTCCTCCTCCTCCTCCCTCCTCCTCTCGCCCTCCACCCTCCACCCTCCACCCTCCTCTTCCGCCTCCGCCTCGGCCTCCTCCTCCTCCTCCTCCACCCAGACCCCCTCGCGTCGTGAAAGAATCACGGCGGGAGGTTCTTCGCCATTTTCGGCCTCCCGGGGCCCTTCCAGGGACTCGGGGCCGCCAGGAAACGACACAGGAGGAAAGCCGGTCCGGGGGAGAGTGTCCAGACCTCTGGGGGTCCACGTTTTGAAACATCACGACGTCGGGGGTCTGGGGTAGCAAGTCCGCAGGCCCCCGAGAGGGGCGGGCTGTCAGGACCTCTTCTGCCATGAACAAGGGACTGGGGTCCGCCACCGAGCATTTCCCCCCGACGTTGCCCCTGATTTCTCCGCCCTTTCTCCCTCCTTCTCCTCGTCATCCTCTTCCTCCTCATCGTCTCCTTGCTATTATTAACACTAGCATTAGTCATACAGTGGCTACTCATAGTATGTATTTCCTTTTAGTTTCCAAACAAAGTAGAAGTAGAAGTAGAAGTAGAAGTAGAAGTAGAAGTAGAAGTAGAAGTAGAAGTAGAAGTAGAAGTAGAAGTAGAAGTAGAAGTAGTAGTAGTAGTAGAAGTAGTAGTAGTAGTAGTAGTAGTAGCAGGCGTAGTACTAGTACTAGTAGTACTAGTAGTACTAGTAGTACTAGTAGTACTAGTAGTACTAGTAGTACTAGTAGTACTAGTAGTACTAGTAGTACTAGTAGTAGTAGTAGTAGTAGTAGTAGTAGTAGTAATAAAAGAAATAGTAATGTGCTATTGCTCTCATGGTGGTACTATTGCGGTCAATAATGATACCAGTACTAGAAATCAAATTAGTGTTAGTACTAGCAACAGGATTCGTAGTACTAGTGTTGTTGATATTGACATTCGGAATATTAGAATTACTATTCGTAGTCGTTCTGCTGTTCATCGTAGTATTCTCAGTACTCTCATTGTTAGTATTAGTAGTGTTTGTTTTGTACTAACGATCGCATTCTTATTGGTAGAATTATCATTGTTGTTACTCCTCCTCCGCATCCTCCTCCTCCTCGTCCGTCACCTCCTCCTCCTCCACCTCCTCCTCCTCCTCCTCCTCCTCCCCTT